ATCACATGGCTTAGGGTATATATAATTTAAGCTGCACTGTTTGTCCTCCATGTTCACTCAACCTTTTATTATGATGATCTCTCTCTCTCTCTCTCTCTCTCTCTCTATATATATATATATATATATATATATATATATATATATATATAGAGGGTAAAGTGCATTAAACCCCTTTGAATTATTGATCATTTACAAGAAACCTCCCTGAACTACAAAAAAAACCCCTGAACTATGATTTTGTTGTAATTTACTCCCTTGAACTATTGGTTATTTGTAAGAAACTCCCTGAAACTACAAAAAAACCCCATGAACTATGATTTTGTTATAATTTACCCATCTAAACTATGATTTTGTTGCAATTTACCCTGTGACATCAGCTTCCGGCACCGAAAATTTTGAAAGACCAGTTTACCCTTATAACACACTGCGTCGTTTTAACTTATACACTTCTTACATTTTTTTTTTTCTGCCAAAAGATGTTTTTCACCCAACACAACCCAAAACAGAGAGCTAGAGAGAGAGAGAGAGAGAAGAGACCAAAGAAATCCAAGGTCGGCGGGATGGCTCGGTCTCGGATGATGGCAACTTGTGCGCAGAGGACTTGGCTGTGATGAGAGCTCGGTTGACTCGGCCGTGAACTGTGGAGGCGGCGGCGAGCTCAAGGGGGCTCAGCAATGAACTGTGGACGACTGTGTGCTCGAAACACGGACGGCGGTGTACTCGGCTATAGAGATGGCAAAATGGGCGGGCGAGCTTGGAATGGACAGTGGAATGGACCGGTGAGCAAGGTGAGCTGAACGGCGGGCAAGGCCGTGACGGCAATGGGCTAACGCAACGGTGCAGAGAAGTGCGATATATATGGCCGACGGATCTGGCGGGTGGTGCAACAGCCATGATGGAGTTATGATAGGAGACCCACCGATCCCAGCAACAGATTCTTTGGCTTATCAAAACACTCCTCAGACGACATCTACCACTCCGATCCCAGCCACAAATTCCTCGGCTTCATCGTCCCGTTCAGTCAATCAATTTGCGCGAATGGGGTAAACTGCAAAAAAAATATATAGTTCAGGGGGGTTTCTTGCATATACCCCAATAATTCATCGGAGTTTCTTGCAACTTTTATAATTCAGGGGGGTTTCTTGCACAGACTCTAATAGTTTAGGGGGGATTTTTTGTAACTTTTATAATTTAAGAGGATTTCTTGCACATACCCTAATAATTCAGAAGGATTTAATACACTTTACTCTAGAGAAGAGAGAGAGAGAGAGAGAGAGGGAGAGGGAGGGAGATTTTATTATATTAGGGCTACACCTAGCCGACAAACAAAAGGTTGTCTTAGTGGAAGATGATTTCATTTGCTTCCTTTACTTGTATGGCAAAAGACTTTTAGCAATTTGCGTAAGCTTTCCGTACAATTGGTGGTGATTTATGTTTAAACGAATTTGAGCATTAAAACATGGGGAGCTGATGATGAACTTGGGTGGGGTCAAATGAGTTTCCCTTGAATGCATTGAAAGGGTGAGCCTTCGCACACTCCTGGAGACACCAGTACTAATTTCCAGCTAGGTTCATAATGATGTTAAAAATAGAAATAATTACACTTACATTCTCTTTAAATTGCTTAAATAACATCAACCATTCATTAGTCAGGTATGAGTTTGATACTCTTGTCTGTTTGTATCATGCTCAAATTTTATTTAAAACTCGTGAACTAAATCATCACACTTACGGTCCAATCAATTGAGAAAGAATCAATAGATTTCTTTTTAGGACCGATTAATCTTTTTCAAACGCAACATACAATTCTCCATTGTACTGCACTCTCCAAGTGTGCTTGTTCTATTAGATAACTCAAAAAATATATATTATACATAAAAATAATAAAAGTATAATAGGTATAATAGTCATTTAACAACTTCAAAACAAATTCAACACTAACAAGGAGGTCAGAATTATTTTTGAAAACATATCAGAGAGGCAATGTAATTATTCTTTAATAATAATTAAAATAAAATGAATTGATTTGTAAATTATAAAATTCACAATACATTAAAGAATTTTTAAAATAGGAAAAACATATTCTTTAAATAAATAAAAAATGAACAGAAGGTTGGCTTGTTAATAGATTTTTTTTTTTTTCATTTTGCCAGTCATTCATGAAAAAGAAAAAACTTTCAATTCTTGGGGTGTTAAAGGTTACAATTAGGGCAACAAATAAAAAGTTGGGTGAGGCCTGTGGATTCACGAAAAATTATTAATTGCAAGAGAGACGATGAGTTGTGATTTATTTTTACAGTGATATTCAAGGACTTTCTTACATTCGTGGCACCAATAAGGACCGTAAATAATAATTTATCGCGATTCACATGGCTGCATCTAGAAGTCACGCTAGCATCGGTAGCAATCTTTTGTTATGGAGCTGAAGTACCGAGTAGGAGAAAGAGTATGGTCAAATCAAGTGAGACCAGAAATCACGCCCTTTACATAATGAAAAAAGCCGTAATAAGTTGGCACCTTAACCTTATTATAACACCTATGAACTGACTGTTTTTTCACCTTAATTACATACAAATTTTGAAAGAGTTGTCTTTAGTATATATTTTTTTTCTTTTATATTTATACAGTCAAAATTTTGTATTAAAATTTATTTATAACAAATCATACAATTTAGTTAAACTTTTATATCTATTCTCTTTCTTCTGATTTTTAGCAAGGGAAAATGAGAAATTGTTACTTTTTTATTATTTTCTATCAAATTGAATTGTTACTTTTAACTAGTTAATATATTTTTATTTTTGAATATTTTGATATGAACTTTTTTTTTTTTTTTTTTTTTTTGTGACAAATCATTTAAATAACACTTCTTTCTTTCGTCTCATGTTGAAAGTTCATTTCAAAAATTGTGGCCACAAAATTATAAATCATAATTTTTGAGGTCGACTTTTAATTAGGAAGAGTGATAGTAACACGATCCATGCACCATTCTCTTTAGTCAAAAACATGTTAATTTAAAATAGAGTTCATGACAATAATCATGAGGTTCATGACACACTTGACAGAATTTTTGCCGTCCTTTCTCAGAGCTAGAAACAATTTTTCAAAACACATTTTGACATGTGTCCTAATTAATTGCCCTTCAATTTGTAGATTACTACCATGATGCCATATATTTTATGCATCAACTTTTCATATTTTTGTTTTAAAATATGAAAAAGGAGGTGGTTATGTTGGTCATTCACATATGCTGGGGGCATGAATAATGTGTATTTTAAGTTACCTTCAATTCCTAAAAATTTCAAAATGTGTGGGCTGCGATGTTTTTTGCCCTTTATTCCCTTTGAATGTCATCAACATAGGTTTTGACTCCTAGGCATCTGAATCAAGCATTAAAGACAGAAAGAAGGGATAACTTTGTCATACGAGTGGGTTGTGGATCCTAGTGAATAATATATTACTCATATAAATTTTAGGGAAACTATATTAAACCTTTTTTCTTATCTGTATTTTTCACTAAATTTTTTGTTTTTATTTTTTTATTAACAAATCGTCCTCAATTACTCAGGGGTTGATTTAATTAAGAGGAGTTGGTTGAAGGAGAACTGAAATATAAATTGACTTAAATATCCATTAAAGCCTAGTTAAAAATCTACTTTACTTCTTTTTTTTATTTATTAAATAACCTAAACGACATTATTTACAGAAATTAAAAATTATATTGTTTTTTTGTTTTAACATTTTACTAGACTGACAAGTTCACATTAATCACATGGAAGGAATTTTTTATTTTTTTATAGGAAAAAATGATATTGAAATATATATAAATAATAATAATAAAAAAGAAGAAGAAGAAAACATGTAGGCATAAATATTAATATGAAAAAGGAAAAAAATTAGGCATTATTTCTCATAGTGTCCCTTTAATAAATTTATATTTCAAAAAAAAAAAAACCTAGATTTACAGGGTATATTAAAATAGGTACAAGGACATTTTTGTTTAAAAAATATATGAGAAACTAAATATCCAAACAGCTCCCTTTCAACTAACTTCCGTTAGTTAAATCACCCCCCTCAAATAGTTGAGGGGGAATTATTGACAAAAAAAATAGAAAAATGGAGTTTAGTAAAAAACACAGATAGAAAATGGAAGTTTAATGTAGTTCACCCTAAATTTTATAATCACAGAAATAAAAATCCATCTATTTATGTAATAATCATGGTTCGCTGTATTGGTTAGTTCGTAACCCTTTTTCAAGGGTTCAATACCGTTATATACTTCCAAGAATCGGTCAATTAATACTAATATCCGTCCGAATTCGTCACACCACAACTGATACTGCGACTGTGAACCAAGAAAATAATTCCAATAAAAAAGAGTCCAACAAGACTCACTTTTCAAAAAAATAAAAATACTTTTTAAAGATATATGAAAATCATTAATTACCACATCAAATAGATTATATAGTCGAGTAAAAGTAGTTGTCAACTACATCATTTTTCAATTTTTATGGAGTAACTTCTGAATTAAGAAGATCTACCATTACTATTTAAAAAAAAAAAAAAAAAAGTCTCCAATATTGTGGAGGCAGTAAATGGCAATCACTGTCAAGAAATATTTGGTAGAATCATTTTGTTTTCTGGACTTTTGTTGGCTTTCTCTTGGAACTAAAAGAAAATTGGAATAATAAAGCTGGGCATTTCGGAGCAATGTGCTAACACACCTTCTGTCTCCTCTTCCACTACATTCATGTACACATGTGTATACATCCCTATCAAATTCATTTTTCTACCCACTTAAAGATAATGAGGGCTTGCTAGTGATTCAAATTCTTTCAATAAAAAAAATAATAATAATAATAATTCCTTTAATTTATTTCTTTTTTCTCTTTTGCAGTGTGTGGCAGATTAAAAATTGTATAATTCAAGTGGTGCAAAATGGATCCCTTTCTCTCTCTACAATACACCACTATGGCACTTTTGGTGACTATAAATCCACCCCACCTCCCCACTTATCCATCATGTTTAACCTCCTCTCCTCTCCTCTCCTCTCCTCTACCTCCCCCAACTTGCACAATCTCTCACAGATCTCTTTCTCTCTCCATATATATATGTGACCTTTTCATTGTACTCCAAATCCCTATTTCCTCTGTTTTTCCTCTGCTCAGAACAGAGGAGGGAAAGAGGAAAATAAAAATAAAAATCACTTTCTTAAATCCTCTCTTCTCAAATTTTGAACATTTCCATGAGTTTCTATCACTATGTCCACAGTGGTGTGTCAAGGATTGCAGTCATGTCTCAAGGATTGCAGTCATGTCTCGAGTCCCAGCTCATCGAGACGAGGACACTGAGGCTCAAACTGGCTTCACCAAGGCCACACTTGTCTGAATCCATCATAGACACTGCTACAGAGCAACTAGAAGAGAAGTGTCAATACAAAGAAATCAACAAGAAGGCTCTGTATGCCAGTGAAGACCACCTCATGTCCTCGAATCTCGAGGTCGGTGGTTGGAGCTTCCTTCAAGCTCTCTCCAACACCACCCAAAGTGATCCCAAAGAAGAAATGAGCAAAGAAAGCCCCTATGTCCCTCCTTTGGGGAAGAGGTCTTCCTCTATTCTAAGTGATAAGAGCTTGGAATTGTGTACCGAGAATTTGGGTAGCGAAACTGGGACTGACATAGTTGAAAGCAGCATTTTCTCCTTCCCTTCATTGGATTGCGAGGGTGGAAAGTCTCCAACAAGGGAGCAACCAAAGTCGCGGCAATGTGTGGAATCTAGGAAAGTGAGTGCTAGGAATTTTCCGCCTCCCTTGACAACCATGAGTAGCGCGAATCCGGTCCGGATTAGGCCCCACCGTGAAGGCGGTAGATTGATTATCAACGCGGTGGAGGCCCCATCGCCGTATGCTTATCTTCAAGCTGAGAGAAGCAATGGCCGTCTTCGGCTATCCTTTTTGAAAGATTGTGATGGTACTACTTTTGACTCGGAAGTGGCCGCCGCCGTAGAAAACGACGAAAGCAGTGAGGAAAATGAAAAGGGTGTGTTTGAAAATGAGGCAAATGATGAAGAACAAGAGGAGGAGGAAGAAGAATTTGAAGAGCAAGAAGATGATGGAGGAGAAAGTGTTGCATGTGTGGAGAAGGACATGGATGGAAATAGTATTGATGCTGGGGTTGAAATGGGAGTGGAGAAGTTCCAAAGGCCAACTAGATGCAAGGAAGGTGGGCGTGGCAAAGAAGGATTATGTAATTGGGAGCCTTTGTGGGTGGCTACAACCTAAAGTTGCATTTTGGAACTCACCGTAGTCAAAATTCTACAATTTTTTGTTTGTCATTTACCCTTTTTGTCCCCCCTTTTTTCTTTTAAATTCCCTTGTTCCATATAATATGCTAATTGGGTAGTTACTATCGTTATTTCTCTCTCTTTTTATTACTCCCCCTTTGGAGGACTATGTGGATTCTAAATCACTTTGACAGAGACAAGCACGACAAGCACAATGATCCGATGTCTAAGGCAAGAATCTCATTTTATTTTAAGTGAAATCATTCGAGATTCCCACATCAGTGTCATGTTTAACACTGTTTCAAACTTTGACCAATCAAGTATTGTGAATATTTATTATTTGTGGTGATAGTAGTGTTTGTTGTGAAAAATATGGTTGGATGTCATGTCAAATGTAAATAAATATATATATGTAACTATTATTAAATATAATTAAATGCTACAATTTAAATATATAATTAACAAATAAGGAACAGGATTAAGACCAAGGCTGTAATGAAATTCTGTTTCTTTGAGACATTATTTCCCCCAATGGGTCTCTCGGCGACTGTCTTTCAACATACAACAATCTTTCTTCAATTGGTTGTAGTAATTCGAACCACATACGGGGTTATGCTCTCTCCGACCCCGACACGAATCAAAAAGAAATAAACTTGAATTGAATTAGATTAAGAAGGTAGAAGGAATATAAACAATATGATTTGCACAGTCATAGGTTGTACCTATTGGGTGAACATGCATGGGTTGTACCTCTTCGGCCAAAATTGATGTTGGAAACTAGTTTTGAAAACTAATAAATAAAGTGTATTCAAGCCAACTTTGGGGTAAAATAAAAGTGGGTCCTGTTGAGATTTTTTGCATGTTCAAAGTGGGATGTGTTCCTCTCAGTAAAGAGATGAATGTAGCATATTTGTTTATTCAAAAAAGTTTCTCAATGAAAGAGAAATTGTATTCTAAAGTATGTATTTGATAAGAACTTAAAGAAGAGAAATTTGTTTGTCGGAAAAGGTTGCCCCACATAGGAAGATGATTGAAACAGATGGAGTTTATTTACTCACATTTGACACCTTGGAATTGCGCCCTTGGAGCACTCAAGTTTTAACGCCCCAAATTCCATGATCCAGTGCATTAACCAAGAAGCCCTAGAGGAATGGTTTCATTACAAACCGGCATTTTTAACATAAGGAAAACATGACTCATCCTCACTAAAATGATCAAAACTCACACCGTAGTTGGAATTTTGGAATGACACAGGTGCGGAAGTTGAAGCCCATGGCTAATGTGACCCAGAATATGAATCAAATGAAGTTCGCTAATGTCATACCAAGAGGTTCTAGGCCCTAGAGGAATGGTTTCGATACAAGCCGGCATTTTTAACATAAGGAAAACAGGACTCATCCTCACTAAAATGATCAAAACTCACACCATAGTTGGAATTTCGGAATGACACATGAATCATTGGAAAGCTTGTTTCAATACAATCAATTTGGATTTAAGGTGAGCAAGATATGGTTGTTTGAAGTTAGCCCGACAGTGCTGTGAACATGAACTAAGATCGACCTCAGTGAACCTAAGATCGATACCAACAAAACATAAAATTTGAGATCGATCTCAACGAAACAAAGATCGATCCCAGTGAACCTAAGATTGATCCCAATGAAACATAATAAAAAATAACCCTACAGAAAGGTTCATGCATGGCCACCCTATATTATTCATATGCATATATATGGTCCCAAAATTGAATCTAAAACCTCCCAAGTGATGAAATATGGTATGGACATGGTGAATCCTAAGTATGTGTGTGCAACACACATCCTTAAGTGAGCAAAATAAGATGGAAGCAATACTTATTTGAAATAAAAATGGCCTAATGGCCTCATTACATTATTTTCTCCAAGTATCAAATACAATTATCCCAAATCATACCAAATACTCATAATTACATTTCCCAAACATGCATGTCACCTCAATTACTACATCCGAATGAACTACAACATGAAATGGAAATAAATACCCATATACATCAAATTACATTTCTAAAACAAGTAAGAGATGTGTCCTCGTCATTAGCCTTGCTTCAACCTAGAAGGGGAATCAACATGGGGTGAACTTACAATGCTCAGTAAGAAATATGCTAGGTATATACACATACCACATTCATTTGGCATCACAAGAATAACCCGTGTCAACAATGTAAAGGGACATGCTCCGAAACGTCTATTTATAGGAATCCAAAAGCATCATCCAAAGTTACCAATTGCACTTAGGCATATCAATTTTATTATATGAATCTCAATATAAGTATACAACATCTATTTCATTTCTAGTAGTCATATACATAGCAAATGAATTACAACAAGTAATCAAGTCGCAATTGCACATGGATGTCAACTGGCAACGAAACCGGGAATTGAAAATAATAACAATAAACTAAGTTGCAATTACACATAGAGACCAACTTGTTAAAATAAGATTCGAAATTAACAAGAGAGGGATATCTCATACACACGAACCCTGGTCACACACATTGCATTAACCGGTAAAATGGTTCTTTCGGAATAAGACCGCCAGTACCCAACCATAATTGTTTTAGGATACTATCCTATAGGTAACTAACCAAGTCGCCACTATAAAGTTGGAGAGTCCTAACTCACTCGTGAGTACCAAGCCCTCGTGTCACAAGTCAAACAGTACAATAAACCCCGAGAATATCCTAAAATCATCATACAATTCCACAAGGTAAGCACATATCGATATATATCCAAATTGTACTTCACAAGCGCACATAAGCTCATGTTTTTCACACGAATCCTGTCTCAAAGTCCAATGCTATCATGACATGCTCATTAATATAATGACAACAACTAAAGTAATAAATGATTATAATCAACTCTATGTAATCGTGAAAGCATTTTATAAATTCCAATACAACTTTGATATCCACATAGTTATAGTTACAAAAGTAAGCTCACAACATCATTCAGATAACCTCAAAAGTAAGTAAAACATCAATACACCATATTAGAGCAACTCCAATGCTCTCTCATTTGGGCCTCTCAAACTCAAAATATGAGAGTTGGGTAAAAAATGATCTCTCCAATGGACTCTTATTTGAGCTCTCAAAATTTGAGATTTTCAAATTTCTTCTCATATATGGCAACTGCCAAATTTTTTTGGCAAGTCTCTCATTTCCCAAAACGGTGCCGTTTCTCACCAGTTATCACCCATTCGCATCTCTATATGTATATTATATATATTATATATAATATATATAAATTTTTGAAAAAAAAATTATGTAGAAAAATTAATTCACAAATAGTGGTAAAAAAATTATAAAAAAATTGTTTTTTTTTTTTTGTCCTTTTTTGACCAAATATTTTAGATTTATACTTCTTTTTAATTAGGTGTAATTTTAGTTTCCTTCTAATATCTACAACTTGACGTAGAATGTGCCTAATATTAATATTACTGATGCAAATATGAATGGTGGGAATGGTAGTTGAAAAAAAATAGTGGTTGTGTTAAAAAATAGCATTTTGCGTGAAATGTGCCATTGGAGCAAAATTGTTAAAATGTAGCATTTTGGCACTGTAGCACATGTCAAAATATAAATTTGGCATGTGAAAATAGGTTTTAGCATTGGAGATGCTCTTATCCATATAGCCTCAAAAGTAAACATGACACTTATACACATATATGAAATCTACAAAATCGAGTAAGAACCTAATTAGCTATAGACTAATATTACAATAACAAATCCAATAAACATATTAGGTATAACATAAATAGTCATATCATTAAATCATCATTTTTAAAGCCTCATTAACCCAATTATGAAATTCTAGATACACACACACACACACACAAATGCATGTATACACACAATCTAACCTCACAAAACTCAAAGAAATATAGCCTTACATACTCAACACACCCCCTACCTCATTAAGATGAAAATCTCAAAAGTCCAAAAACCCAAGTGCTCCAATCACGCTACAACCTTGAAGGGTCGATAAGGATGACTAGGAGAACATTAAACCCTCCTACAACCGGCCCCAAATTCAACTTTAAAATAACTTCCAAAACTTAAAATGCCCCGAATCAAAAACAAAAGCAAGAGTTTTGTTGCTCTTGGTGTCCCTAACATTTCTCCCTTCCTACGATGACTCATAAATCTCAGCGAAGGTAGATGATACCAATCCTTAAAGCTTGTATGAAAAAGAAAGAAAAAGAAAATAAGAAATAAAAAAATAAAAAGAGAAAGAAAAAAAGGGAGGGAGGACCCAAGTGCTCCAATCAAGCTACAACCTTGAAGGGTCAACAAGGATGACTAGGAGACATTAAATCCTTCTATGACCGGCCCCAAATCCGACTTTGAAATCACTTCCAAAAACTTAAAATGCACTGAATCAAAAACAAAAGCAAGGGTTTTGTTGCTCTTGGTGTCCCTAACATTTCTCCCTTCCTACGATGATTCACAAATCTCAACGAAGTTAGATGATACCAATTCTTAAAGCTTGTATGAAAAAGAAAGAAAAATAAATAAAAAAGAAAAGAAAAATAAGAAATAAGAAATAAGAAATTAAAAGAAAAAGAAAAAGAACAAAAGTGCACCCCCCCCCCCTCCTCGCGTGTGTCTGGCATCTCACTCCCTCTCTCCTCTAAACATATACACATATATAACTATACATGACATAAAAGTCAAGGGTGGGTCCCAGCCTTTTCCAAAAATGGCAAAAAGGCCCAAAAAAGAAAATATCAGGAAAATAATAGCGCAAATGCCCCAAAATAATAAATACAAAGTGTTGGGAAAAAAAATTCCCGAACACTTGACTGGATCCGATCCCACTTGACCCGAGACCCGAAAAGGTCTAAAAAAAAAAAAAGGAAAGACGAACAGGTCCTCACACAAGTTGACTTGACCTGGATGCCAAAACCCCTTATTATGTTTTCCCCTTTAACTTCCAAAAAAAAAAAGAAGAAGTTGACTTGACCCGACTGGTCCTATTCAATCAAGTTCATGGATTCAATTTGGATTTGGGTTGGTTTTAATTCAATTACATGGTTCCTGAATCTAAATTAAATCATTCGAATATAGGGGTTTGAGCCCAAAACGACGGATGTCAGGGGGCGGTAATCAAGTGATTCCAAACCACTAGACCAAAAACCTATGACATTGAGTCATATTTTAATTGGTCTAAGCCAAATGGTTCCAATCGAACCCAATTTCATTATTTTGTATTTACAATGGCGGATACAGAGACTGTCATTGT